TATGGAATAGAAAGTACCCTTGTCGTACGGTAATTCTACGATGGCCAGTCTTAATAGAGACTAGCTTGAATAACATTCAAACAGTTGAAAGAAAAGACCCACAGGAAAAGTCATTTTAATAAAAAAACTTAGTGTTTGAGCAATACTTTCATAAAATGCATTTAAATTACATTTATGTAATGCGGTTAATCCTATACTAGGTCATTTCATAATAATAACAATGGGAATAAAATTTCCCACCTCAAAGTGAGGGAACCGCTGTATCTGATAAATGCAACTAACAATGTTAGGGCTGCCAAATTAGGAGTTTTTCTTCATTTATTTGCCGCATTTATAATGAAGGGTGTGTATATTTTTATAAATGTCATTTATTATTTTCATCCCGAATACCACAGATACAATTCTGAGTCATTTATATTTTTTTTAACCAAGATTTTGGTTAACCACATCTACCATTCCGAAACAATTTAACCAAGATTGAACCTAGGGCCTACAGGTTAATAACTCTTAAAATGCTTTAACCACCTGCCAGGTAGACGGTATAATTGCAGACGGTACGTGTAGTATAGCGCGGATAATATTATTTAGATTTAATAAAAAATATTTAAATAAATATCGTAAAATAAAAACACTGAAGTGACAACCCTAAATATATCAGCTGAGACAGCTGTTACATTGTTAGGATCATCTTAAGATTTACTCGCAAATGCTCCGTTAAGATCGCCGCGTGCGCAGCTGTCGCAAATTGCAATTCAGTACACATTTGCCTATGGCACGCATCTCACGTTTATGTGGTCAAAATTATTACTGGATTTCAATGTATTTGTTATGGACAGTGAAGTTTTAAATATCTAAATGTGTCGAATTAAATATTTGTTAACTCTTATGAAAATCAGCTTCAGGAGCCAAAAGTTAGGCAAGTACAAACAAATACGTATAAAACTTGTATTTAAATTAACTTTTATATGTTAAGTTAATTAGTGATATTAATATGTTAATAACATATTAATATCACTAATTTGTTAATTACTGTATAAATACTGGGTTCTGTATGAGTACAAGTACGACCAGTCACTTTCTCTGCATCTTCTACCGCATACGATGGAGAGTTTTTGGAGTATTTTGGATTAATACCTGCCTCCATTCGTATCACCTCGTCGTCCACCTTTCCACAAATGAGCGTTTCTAAGGTAGTTTCTGCCGCGCACCACCATTGTGGAACCAATTCGACTTTGGCTCCTTCAAGAAAAGAGCGTACCAATTCTTTAATGACAAGCAAGGCACTTTCGAGCCCTCTGTCAATGTGGGCGTCCGGCGCGGTATCACTTAACATTAGATTAGCCTCCTGCCCGTTTGCCTTCTGTTCTATTAAAGAAAAGGTGTAAAGAATACATAAGAATGCATCAAGTATAAAGGATAAATATAAACTTATTGTTAACTATAAACTAGTTGATTATATAATCTTCTATATGTAAAGAACATAATGAATTTTAAGCTCCCGATTTATTTATGATTAGGACAGTGAAAGTAGTTGCAGCTTCAATGTTGGTGTCTGGTGTTCTTAAGTGTATAATTACGATTTAACTCTTAATAAAGTCCTCTGTAGGAGAAGTTGTGGTAGCAATTACTAAATCAAATTTTACAGTTGAACACTTATTGTCAAATATTTTACTTATGAGAAATAATTGTGTCTCTTTCCTTTTATATATTATCAAAATACGTTATCCGGTATTGTTATTTGGTAAACATTAAATGATATTATAATTTTAATTAGAAACGTTAGAACATTGTCTAAAAGGTTCATTGCCCTCTCTTTAAAGTTGTTGCGTAAGATTTTTTAATCTAGAAATTCATAGAATCGCCACCTTCCGTCACCGATATGAAATCGAATTAGTTACGTTCCTAGTAAAGCGTCCAAATATTCAATAAATAAATAAGTAAACATCCCAAATAATATAAAGCCCGTTGATTTCCAATCTTTACAAATGTCCAGTTTAGATTTGTTATAATTTTTCTTCATATTAAGATATATATAATCTGACGTCCTTCAGTGCCAAGAGGCCTCCTCCAGCTTGGGTCAAATATATATCCAGGGCTTTCTTTCTTCATTCGCTTCCTGCTAACGCTCATATATCTTCTATCCAACTTTTCATAGGGCGCCCTCGTCCGGTACTAGCTAAGAATATTCCAAAGCCGAATTTAAAATAGAAAAATATTGATTACGTTATTTAGGTTTCCAGGTCGTGTTTTTTAAATAAGTTTGAAGGATAGATAGATTTTGTGTCTCCTTGGTCCTATAGTTGTCTTTAAAAGTCCACCTTCTATCTGTGCGTCTTGCTATATACCTCGCCCATTGCCACTTCTGTGTAGGTTTTCCCTCAAGACATCTCCAAACAACGCATATAGTAAAATATTTTGCTTTTCTTTTACTTATTTCCTGCGAAATTATCGGGACTGAAGCGAATTCGGGACCGCTTTGAATTTATTGACTTAACCAGTGCATGACTGACTACTGAGTGCGACAATAAAGGTAATGAAGCTTTGATGAACTTCCGTCAGAGGCAAAAACGAAACCGCCGATGAAACGATGCAAATTGCGGAAATTGAGAATTGTAACATAATGATTGTCTTAAACTATCACGTGACTGTATATCAACTCGCAAATATCATGTAAACTGTACCCTTTATATCAGAGAGACGCTTGAACTACTATTCGTCTTTTTCTGACAAATTTGTATTGATGCTGTAATGAAAAAGACAGCAGTACTTTTGTTAAAACTATGTAATTAAACTTAATTCGTTTTTGGAATAACATTTATTCCCTTAACTGTATAGTTAAAGTAACACATGTCAGCAACAGCACAATACTTGTAATATCGCCAGTTTAATATATTTCTCCCACTTGTACAACATATACCTAATAGATATAGAAAAGGAAAATTCCAGTATTATATGTAGTAATCACAATTAACGGAAACAATAGTCACACATTATTTACTCCAACAAAACTAAGTCCTGGTACAGAGTACACCTGCTGCTAGTAGTATATCCTCGAGACTCTAGATTAGGAACACACCAGCTTTGGGGTACAGCTAGAAAGTATATGAAAAGTGAATTAAATTTTCACCTGCTTACCTAAAGGCAAAATCCATACTGGATACCTTTTCAATTTGGCAAAAAGCCAGAACAGAAATAAATGGTTTCCTTATGATGATTTCACTCAAAGAGAATAAATTTCAAATATGATATTTCAAATCTCCTGTTGTGTCGTGTCTCTCCTTCAAAGACCTGCATGATCAGACCTATGCATTTTAATCCGTTACTTAGGGTCTTTGCTGCGTTACCAGCGAAGAACATTCCAAAGCCAAATTTAAAACAGAAATATTGATTGCGTTATAGGTTTCCAGGTCACGACCTGGACGTCTTTTTGAATAAGTTTGAAGGATAGAAATTTGCGTCTTCTAGTGCGTACGCTACCACAATTTCTTAAATAAAATCTGTATGCCATGCGACATTCTCTATGCGTGTCTACCCTCTCATCTTTTTTTATGACTTCCAGAATATATACCTATCGCTCTTCTTGTCTTAAATACTCTGCCAATACAAGGATTTTTATAAACCTTCAAAAGTCCGCTGAAGATATATCTTGATTAACCTTCGGATTAATTGAGTTCATTGATCTACTTACGTATAATCTTTAGTATTACCGGAGAATTTTTATTAGGACTAACGAAGTTGAGACAGCAGTAATAAGAAGAGTACGACGATAACAAATTGACTCTACGCGTGATTTTGATGTTGTCCTAATAGGCTCTGCAGCAATGGAATTTACTGTGGGAAATTAATATTAGCATGTACAGAACATGGTGTAGATCCAGGCATATATCCGTCAGATGCCTCTTTATCAATAAAACAAGTGCACATTGGGAGGTTGTTATGATACAAGAACTAGGTTTAGAAAAAAATAACATATTATGTACGTACTGTCCTTTAGATGTATTTCTTGTTACAATGTTTTCCAGTTGAATTCACATTGTAATGAACAATATTGTGAACTAGTAAATGGGTTGGAACAGGTGTATAGATGTTTCGTTATATATCAGCGGTTACGAACATGGCTATTGTCCAGGAGAGGTCAACCTTTTATTCAGAAATTTATATTTATTTTTTACAGATAAATCGTGTATATGAATAAGCACCGTTTCTTTAGCTTCAATTTGTCTTATGTTTCTTGTATTGAAAAATGTTTAAGATACTTTATATAATTCAAGAATTAGTAATCATAATATTAATACTAGCCTTTTAATTCCGATACTTTTACATTTAAACACGTTTCTATTTCAATCTTCTTTTAGGTATCTGTGTGCCCTTTTTTGGCCACCTCCAAATCCCGTGTTATTTTATTTAGTCTATCCATCTTCTAAGTTTTCTTCCTCTTTGTCGTTTGTCTTGGGCACCAGTTTAGTACTTTTTTGCAAGAAAAGTTACTTTCTTATAATTATATTTGATTAACATTTCCTTTAATAGATTCTATCTTTCAAGAAAAGTATTCTTAAGAGGCCGTCAACGCACTCGCGTGAGTGTCCACGGGCCTCCTGCCAGATTTAGATCTTTAAAAAATAAAATGTCATTTAGTAAGTTTTGAGTTTAATGATTTTTCGTGAAAATTAAGTCATTTTTCCTCAGTGAGAACTGATATGGTCAATTATATGTTGTCCTATGACTGGGACCTATTTAGATACTATTTAGTTACTTTTGAAATAAGTCCGTAAGAGTGGCGTATATAAGTCATTTTTCTTTAATAAGCATAACTTTGATTAATTTACATGGGAATAATGCTAAAGTCGCTAAATAAATAGTAGTGCTCAAATTACGCTCAAAGTACTGCTAAAAAGATGACATATAATTTTAGTAATTCCTTATAAGGAATCAAATTCGATATTTCGAATGGCTTTGTTTCATACCAATATTTTCGATACATCAAATACGTATTTATTAAAATGCGTTTTCCTCCTTATTTTCCTTCCTGCGGCCCACCAGGTCAGTGCCGCCTACACTATTCTCCACTTAACGCGCTCTCCGACGTCTCTACTCTCTACACATTCCCATTATTATCACTTCATTGCACAAGCCTTTTCTTATAATAAACTGCTAATCAAATTTACGAAACCGAAAAACAGGTAGTTTGATACGTTAATTATTCCCTAAAACCATGTCAATTATCAACTATGCAACGCGTTCCACTGGTTCGCAATCCCTGGACCGTTCTGTCAGCGGGTCTAACGAAATTGTCGGGAAATCGAATACCTTTGTAGTCGATTGACATCGAGTATGATGGTGAAAAATTCGATTTGATCGGTATTGTAATTGGTTTCGTGATATATAATGTATATTTACTGTTGTCATTGCATAGTTTATTATACAAGATGAATATTCTCGTGTCTGCGTTGCTAACAAGAAACCAAAGTAAAAAGTCCGCAAAGCTATTTTTATTTATTTATTAAAATACACCGCAAATATATAATTCATTTTCTACCGTATAAGTTATAATCTATCTATTCCTAAATACATGACAATTACAGTGAACATAAATTTTACTAAAAATTACACTCAACAACAAATTTAATCTGTACTAGTAATTAAATATTGAAAAATTATTACTTATTCGGTTAACAATGCGGCTTAGGTTTACGCACTTAATATTGCTTTTTTAAAATTGATCAGCCAAACACGAATTACAATTTCAAGTGTGGTTAATTTACACGCCTTAAAATCTATGCAAAGTTATATGTATCGTCGTTAAGTTTTAATAAATAAAAATATTACTTTTTAATTCGTGTCTCATTTCGCGTATTCTATAAAGGGGGCCTAACTGACAGTAATACCCGTACATCCTTGTCATTGATGGCGATCCCCTTTGATCAGTAAAAATATTATGTTTCCAATATACGATCAAACACCATCCAAAGGAAGCTTTTAGCAATTAAGATTTTTGTTTCATTATTATACCAAGTTTTTCTTTCCACCAAATGACAACGAACAAATTTGCAACTTATTTACCAATGATATTCATAGCGTGGGCGAGTATTTGGACCATAAGTGAGACAACAATTAGAAATAACTAACTTTATTATTATGACATTGTGTTGATGTTCTTATTATATGACATAAAGAAACTTAATATGACATTTGCATCCTTATTTTATATGGCTGATTGTGCGGATTTTTATCATCGAATCATCTAAAAGAATTATTATTATTTTACAAAAAGATAATAAACATTATAACTAACAAAGCCAACAAATTAATATTTATTGCCAGTTCTTCTCTTCCGTTCTACGCCCTTGATTTGAGAACTGGCAGTAAATGTAAAATTTGAAGGATTTATTGTATATTTCTTTTTTGGCGTTTATAAGTGTACATTGTGTTACCTATATGAATAAATGATTTTTAACTTTTGACTTTGACTTTAACAGCCAGCTTAAAACAGTATATCTATCTATCTATCTACGGTCGTCTATATTATAGGTTTGTATATTACAGAAGCGGAATGCGATGGATGCAGCAGCGAAAATGACGAAGGTCGGAGTGTTGGGGAGTTATTGCTGCCACAGTATGCCCTTGCCACTGGCGGTTTGGCGCGGGACCACCGGCCTCTCATCACCTTCCCAGACAACAATAACTTCCACGTACTTACACCAAGTGAATACCGCCGACTCCTTCTCTACCTCACCTCAGTGCCCTCGTAAGTATTTTTTTATTATAGGCAGGTACAGTGCTGGATTAAAAAAAGATCTAAAGCAACAGTGTTGTACATCTTACAGTACTAATTAGCGTCGCAATCCATCAAGAAAGTGCTTCGAGTTATGCTATGTTATATATATAATAAAAATTGGTTCAAATCCGTCTGTATCCGTATTTACTTTATATATAATCAATGTGTGACAGCCAAGGGTTGTTAAGATTTTTCATTAAAGTTTTGATGAAATCCACAAGCATTCAGTTAAAGCAGCAGTTAAAGTCTTTAGACCTCTAATGAATGGTGGAATGTGATCTAAACGCAGATAGGTGCGGAACTTCGTAAGACGAATGGCAGGGGTCTTATGTTCGCAATTGAAATTAGTCGACCTAAGAAAAGAGCGTACCAATTCTTAAAAGGCTCGTGAGTCCTCTGGCATTGAGAGTGTCCAGGGGCGGCGTTATCACTTTACATCAGATGAGCCTCATGCCCGTTTCCCTCTCATTCTATAAAAAAAATATTTTGACTAAATGGTGGTGCATAAAAATTTATATCTGGAATAAATGTTATGATTGGCCCTTTTTATAACCGACGATTGTAGAAATCTTCGAAAAAGGAATCACACCTCGCGGTAGTATTATATAAATACCACATATGTGAAATAAACCATACTATTGGCTTCACACGCGGTCAAATAGCTCGTATCAAACAGTGCGCGACGCGGAGAACTTGCCTAATCTTAGATGAAGATGAAATCCACTATCAGATAACACGCTCAATGAATCACCGGTGATTGCATTTTTACGCGATAGTAAATTTTCATCATTGTGACAAATTTAGCTTTATTGTATAGCATATTATACATATGAAAGGAGTTATACAATTTTTTTCTAAACCGTACATATGCGGGATTCTATTTCCGAAACAATTGTTATTTTGGTTAGTCACAGAAGACTGATGACAACTTGTTAAAAATCAAGCTCCTTCTCATTGGTCTCTTTAAATCAATTGCAAATACGACTTTTACCAACCAAAACCTATGGAATAATTTTTAAGTTAGAAGTGTTTCATTTTATATATCAACTCAGTTTTGACAGACGCGTTCTTTGTCGCATCTTCTCGTCATGACAGCGTAACCATATTTGACATAAACAGACAAAAGGGTAGGTTTAAAAGAGTGGAATTAGACTGATTATCAGTGAAGTGAAGGGAGCTAGACTGATATACGTAAAACTAATAAATAACTTTACACGTCAAACCCAAAAGAACACCTTTTGACAACTGACATAATTTACACAATTATATCGCGCCTTGAGACGATGAATTAATTGAACAATTCAGTATATTTGTATCCTTTTATTTTCAGACTACTGGAAGCGGAAATGGGCTTCCACATAATAATTGACCGGCGGAAAGATAGATGGAACTCTGTAAAAGCAACGTTATTGAGAATATCCGTAAGTGTAGCTTTTTTATAAGTATTACATAAAAAAATCTCGTTTTTTTGTTTTTGGAATTGCAGCCTATGTTGTCTAGCACAATAAATAATTTGTTTTAAAACATTTACCGGATTAAACTGGTATAGCTTCTGTACCTGTAACATACGTATTTTACAGGTACAGTCGTATTTGAGAATGAATAAATAAATATATAGATAAGTACGGGATGTTTGCAACAAAAGATTTAATGCAACAGATGGAGCCCTAAGGGTACGATCAGATATTCAAGGTGGTGGGATTTTCTCAAAGCTATTGGCAGCACACTACGATGTGGGCTTGAACGAGTCTTCGCCCCTTTGAGAGGATGCGAGAGAGACACTGTTCAAATCTTGTTTATTATTTATAAAACAATATCTTAAATACTACTTATACTTAAACACATACATGAGATTATTCTTGTAAATTGTCGAGCCCATAAGCTATATATGTATTTGGGACAATCGCGTTAGCCGTGTTAATGGTTGACCAATATTCAAATGAAATCTGAACTAACTCTTATGATTATTTATTTTGTAATTTCTGTTTTGATATTATTGTTGTGTATAATTTGTATTTTCATATATTTCTCGTATTTTTAAGCATGCATTGTTTTAGGATTTATAAATATATAAAGTTTAAAATACTAAGAATACGTATAATATATTTAGTTGCCAAATTCGATTTAGTTCTTGCCCTAATGTTGCATGTTACGACACGTTATTGTCACGTGGTATAAAAACCGAATATTGTTTTATTTATTCTTTATTATAAAGTGTACCTATATGCGTAGTACATCTAGCTTTCACGTAATTAAATACCAAAAACTTTTATTTAACCGATAAAAAATACTAAAATAAATCCTACCATTCCAGGAATTCTTCCCTGGCGTAATCCATACGGTGTACGTCTTACGCCCGGCGAGCTTTCTTCAAAAGGCATTATCTGAAGTGAGCAGTAAATTATTTAAAGAAGAGTTCCGGTTTCGTGTGCTGGTCTGTTCTTGTGTGGAAGAGTTGTACGAACACTTCGACAGGTCACAGTTAACTCCAGATTTGGGCGGTGAATTACAGTACTCACATTCAGAGTGGATACAACAACGGATAGTAAGTTCTTGTTTCTCTTTGTTTTTATTGTTAGTATTAATTATTTATTGTCTTAAGTATTTTGTTTCTAAGTAAAATAACTACTACTGTGGTGTGGCCCTTTAAAAACCAATGCACTTGGTGGTTTTTTGGTGTTTTTGTACCATTAGTTTAGTTACAATTCAATGCCAAATACATGTCAACGATCAATAAGTACGATTTTAGTTACTTTTCTTACTATATTTGGGACTTACAAATGCCTCTAGGGCAAGATTTTTGTCTATTTTATTGATATATTGCAAGGCCAAGTAGGTAATTAAATTTTTGTACTGAAACTATATTTTTCGTAAAAATATACTTGATTGTAAATTTTTTATAACTCATGTACGTGCAGGTCATATAAATAGGTTGTATAAATAAGGAATACCATATTTATTCAAAATAAGAATGGAATGATGTTTGCATTTTACTGCAAATTAATTTCTTGGCTTTTATATAAATGTAAATAGTCACAAATTACACGAAACACACATTAAAGGTAAACACACATAAGTAGTAGGTTTCTAAATGATGAAACCCTTGCGCTCTGAATCCATGTGGATATCCGGGAATTTTCATATAGCTGATCGCTGTATGAAAAACTGAATATTTTCTAAATTATTAAAAGTAATTATTGTATCGTAAAAACTTACGAATCGCATCTGATTTACAGGCTTTAGAGAAGTTTTCGACTTTAATGAAGGAGATATCCACGAAATTGGACGAGTTTATGCACGAAATATGTGATTGCGACATGGGAAACGATCCCGCACAAACCAAAGACCTTTTAGACTGTCAAGAATCTAGGTGAGTCTATTTTTGCTTGTATTTGTACTAATATTATATAAGTGTGCTATTTGCATATAAAGTCACTTAGATACTCACACAATGACGTATTACTTTACAATTAATCTGAAATAAAAATATCGTTTAATAATATCCCCACTTTAAATACGACCAGATAGATGGTGATATAATATATAACAATATATTAAATAACTGACTTAGTAACTATAAGTACTGTACGGTTCCTGGGTCAACTGGATGCTTTAAAAAATAGAGGATATTATTTCTACTATATATTAACCACTCACGTACAACAATAGAATAAATGCAAAATAATTAAATGCTAATTGCTATGAAACGAATGCTGAGAATAAATTGAAGAGAGTGCCAGCGTCTGGCTATGCTCTCGGGGCATAACTTAAATAAAATGTACAGCTTTTGCTTTTACAAGTACTAATCTAAGCTTATAATTGATTGAATATCAATATCAATCTATATTTTTATTTAATATGATTTCGTAAAAATCTATTGATTCTTCAATATTCTTACTTAATTTTTAATTTCTTAATTTGATACCCTTTTCAGTTATAAAGCTTTAAAAACCGAACTGGCGTCAGCGACAACGCAGGGCGAAGAATTACTGACCCAAGTGCGAAAACCAAATCTTACTTATAATATTATTAGTCACGTGGCTGCTGTTGAAAGGTAATCTCCATTTATTTATTCAGAATTTCCTCTTTCATACGAACTTGTTGACTTTAAATAACAATAATACGTATACAAAGTGATGAGAACAGTAATATTACGACATCATTGCTGATGAAAAGTGGTCAGCCTACCAACTTAAACAAAAATTGTCTAGCCGGGAATGTACTGCCATACAAGTCGTGTCCTGGCAGATAGTGATAACTTTGTGATGTAGTGTTATGAAAATATATCGGAGGACTAAACAGATTATAAAACACAGGTTTTTTAATAAACAAGCCTTTAAATGTAAATATTTTTATACCGTTTAGCGATGCCAATAACGCTCATTTTACTTTTAAGATTAAAAAAACCATAACTAAACAAAAACAAATTTTCAGGCTACTTGTTCAACTCGAAGAGACTGAAAAACAATTCGACAACTTTTGGAAGAAACATTCCATGAAATTAAACCATTGGCTCAAGTTCCGCACATTTTTATTAAACTTTAAACAAATGCAGGTAATTATAATCTATCATGCAACTTATTGTATCGGTCTAAAATTAAAACTTGTATTTATTTCGCGTCGATTTTTATTTCTATGACGAAAATCAAACATTGGAGTTTTGGGGGAATTCATTCTTCGTGATTCCTCTAGATCTTTCATAGGTTTGAATATAAAAGGCTCTGATGGCACTCTATTCACGACTAATTCAGAAATATCCATAAAGACATCACGATTACTGGTATTGCTTTCCTGAAAATTGTTTGACCGAATATCCTTTCGCTTGTATGACTCTAGTTCAAATGTCAATTTTTGAAGTCTACGCGTCTTGTCTTCTAACTTAGCATTTAATTCCTCTGTTTGTTTCCTTTTCTTATTGAATTCTGTTTGTAATGTGGTAATCTTACGTTTACAACCTTCCAGTTCAGCGTGAAGTTTTTTCATATTTATAGTACTGGCTTCTTCTAGACACTGAAGCTTCTCTTTTGAATGCTTTGCTAAAGTCTCCTGATATAGAGTCTCTTGTTCAATTTGGTATGACCAAAATGACATCGCACGCATGGCTACATCCATTATGGTGTCGGGTTTTAATCCTGCTAAAACTATTGACTTAAATGTTTCACTTGGTTTAAGATCAGCTTGAATAACGTCGAATTTATCTCGCAATTCATTTCCGCATGCGGGACAAGTCAATGAATTCTCAGCGTTATGCCTAAATTCGCTTTTTCCATGTTCCACGCAAAATGCATGTGAACACGTCGTGACCCAAGCTTGACTAGATAATGATCTTCTGCATTTACGAAAATTACACACAATATCTAAAGTCATTTTCACATAAAATTAATTTAATTAATGCACTAAAATTAATGATGACATTAACATATCCATTTTAACACTGAAGCCTTACTTTAATAATTGAGAAGAGTCACGCGTAAATAAATATATGACAGATTTTTTTTTTATTTACATCTGAAAAGAAGGCTAGGCTAAGACATTTTGACAACCTACATAGACGATATATTTTCTTAAAGAGGTTCTGTGTAGTTTGAGGTTTTATATGTTTGATTATTTTCAGGCGACTTTAGACACGCATTTAAAGGCAGCATGTGATATGACCGAAGTGGGCGAAACTGCGAACCGGGTCGATGGCCTAATACATGAGGCTAACGATTTTGAACAACTATGCAATGGAGATCTAGAAGCTGCATCATCAGTAATTGACGAAGGTATAGATCTCGTGTTATAATTAAAATTAAAATATGGTATAATTTAAACTTACCATGGTGGTTGCCTGTAAGAGATCGCTCGAAAGCGATAGAGCCGCGTTATTTAATTATTTTAATTGCGTATTTCTTGCAACGAAGTGTTAATTAAATTAATAAATAAATACAATTTATAAGATCATGATTAGTTTAGTTACTACTAGTTTAATAAAAATATCAGTGTTGCAAGCCTTTTTAGGTCTGGGCCTCAGATGTATGTATCTGTTTCATGATCATTTGTCAATCTAATAGGCATGTGGGTGGTCAGCCCCCTATGCTTGACACACGCCATCGACTTTTTGGGTCTAAGGCAAGCCGGTTTCCTCGAGCGACTTTTTAAGCCTACTTTTTAATAACATAATAACAAGTTTCAAAAAACATTTTCAGGTGAAACATTGATGCAAGATCCATTGAGTTCAGTGGATCATATCGAGTCAAAATGTGAAGAATTAAGGCGAACAAGTGCTTTACTGTTGGACAAAATACAGAAACGAAATCTGCTTTTGGCTAAAGCGAGAGAAGTTATGGACCGAATAGACAAGGTAAAGTTTAATAGCTATAGAAGGTCGTTGTTGGCATAGACATTAAAATTAAAAACTTTTGTGTTTTATTTAGTTTGTATAAATATGAATAGTTAAAGACTATGCGATAACATTGTCAAATATACTTATGGCTTATTGTAGTTGTTACTTGCTCAGTTACGTAATAATTGGCGCTATCTTAGCGAATATCGCATCCAAGTTAAATATAGTATTTTCTACGTAAAAAATTGCCAAGGCCATTAACACTTAGTATATTTATGTATTCGTCGTAAAAAAACGGTATATAAAAATTATTCAAAACATTGCACATGTTTCACAACTTATATTTATTTTTTAAGGCAAATGAATGGTGTACCACTGGAGTTGAAATTTTGGCGGGCGAAGGCGGTTTAATAGCTGTGGATAAACTAATAGAAGATGCGAAGACATTCGGACTGACGTCACCCGAAGAATTCCGCGAGATGCTTATGCAATCTGCAACACAGGAAACAAGGGCGCTAGTTACACAAGTAAACTTCTCTTTTTAATTACAAGAATAATTTGAACTAATAAAACTTATATTCAAAAACTAGCTCGATCCAGAGCCAAAGCATTTGTACAAATAAGAAGGTTATGTAGTAACTCCCAATACTTTATCAATTCTATTTGCTCTGTGTTTAATTTCACAGATTACCTTTGTACTGAATAGAAAATCCCATATTAGTTAAAATATTGTATCGAATGCATATTATTCTATATTGATTATTCAATTATTTATTAAACCAAAATAAAGTAACAAAAAATATATACATATATGCAAATGGCAATTGTCAAATAAGTGTCAAGTGTCAAGGCAATTAACACGATATAAACCGAGTATAAACTATAAACAGCCCTTAATGTATTCTTCCAGAAATGTATTTGTATTTTAACTAAAAATTTGCTTCTTGACTTTCTACATAAAACTTAGTTTTGCGATGTATAATTTTAGAAACAATAAAATTTCATATTTTTCAAAGAAAACAAACGCAAATAAGTCTTTGTTTATTCTATTATATGTTAATCATTTTACTAATCTGTGATGACGCCCGCTAGCGCATGCGAAGTAATAAGATTTGGCGCCCAAAAGTGTTGTACTATTTGTTGTGGTTATTGTCCTTTATAGGAAATATATAGTGATAGTGAATATTAAGAAAATCTATATTAATTCTATTTTAGCTTATTATTCACTATATGAAGGACCATAGAAATTTTGAAACGTGACAATAGTCGTTTCAAAATTTAAAATAAAAATAATATTCTTTGTGTTATCAACTCGCATGTAACAAAATATTAACAGCTGTTATTAGTCTTTCATTAAGAGTCAACATTAAATAAGGCAAAAAAGAGATGAGAAGAAGAGATTTAAAGATGTAAAAAGTTCTGCATTAAGCCTATTGGAAGCTAAATTCTTTTACAGTTCACCATTGTATTGTTCCTTATATATTATTAATCAACCATGATAATTTAATTACGCCTAGCATGCTAAAACTGCTGAAATTTCTATTAATATAAGCAAACTGTAGACTGAAGTTACAAAACATTCACTTGTTAAATAGAAAAACATGCTTCAACAGAAATGTCTCCTTTAACCTTTACTTACTGATCCCAGGTATCACAAAGAGTAGAAGATGTGTGGTTAATGGTGACTGTGAAGCGAGCGACACTTCAGCGAGCAGCGGCTAAGCCTGCTCGTCCCGTGCAGTCTGTACCGCCACAGAGTGCTGCCATACAACCACTAGCCGAAAAGGTTTGTTTATTAAAATATCTTTATTTAAAATTTATAGTCTTTATATATTAACCTTCACGCGGATCTATATTATCACTACACGATTAACGTCACAATTTTTTTAATTAGTGGAGTCTTTTATTGGATAACGTAGGATCAAATTGTCATATTGGTGTATTAAATATGATCACAAATATATAAAACAGATTGTCGAAGACATGATTGAGGAGTATCACAAGGCGCAACATATTAGCAAATTTTCACCGGAGAAACATTTGAGCAAATACCTTAAGAAATACCAAAATAATACTACTAATAATACTAAGCAAAATTCTAAAAAATCTTTTAATTTTCTATTTTGGTATTGCTCTGTGTTAGAAATCTAAAAAAAAGAAATCCAGTACCATTCCTACCTGTACACGATTTCAATTATCGTTTTTGTTGACATGCACTCATAAATATTCATAGGCCAGCTTAATTCGGTGCTACAAGGGCGTCTTTCGCACACGAGTGCAGAATAATAATTATTAATGAAAGTAAACCTTTCTAAGTTTTTCCTTGTACTTGTAGTTACATCCTACAATGTTGTAGGATGTAACTACAATACCGTAATTTTTTAATGCTAAGACGATATTCTAAGAAGTAATTTTTTTTGATTTTTTTTTAAATTTTTTTTAAATTTCAATAAAATTCTTTTTACGCCATTAAAAAATCTTTACATAGTACGTAAGTACTTAATAATTAACTGAATTGGTAACAATCAATCATTTTAATCCAAATATATATATACCAAACAAAGCAATAAACTAACTAAAGAATTAGTTGAAGAACACTTAGGGTAGTATAACTTATTAAAACTTATGACTATTTATTCCCCTGAGGAACTCCCTTTCCAACACCACACTTGAGGCGAACAGGTCAATATCAACTGTTAAATTGTTAAACTTACTCGTCGCCCTAAACATAAAGCTGTTCCCTCTGTCATTGGTGGTGATTTTAGGTGTATACAATAGGTGCATATTTTTTAACGTCCTATTATACTCACGGAGTAGACCAGTGTTGGCCTAGTGGCTCCAGCGTGCGACTCTCATACCTGAGGTCGTAGGTTCGATCCCCGGCTGTGCACCAATGGACTTTCTGTCTATGTGCGCATTTAACATTTGCTCGAACGGTAAAGAAAAACATCGTGAGGAAACCAATATGTCTTAGATCCAAAAAGTCGACGGCGTGTGTCAGGCACTGGAGGCTGATCACCTACTTGCCTATTAGATTTAAAAATGATCATGAAACAGATTCAGAAATCTGAAGCGCAGACCTAAACAGGTTGTAGCGCCACTGATTTATTTTTTATTTACTATACACACGGAGACACTCCATTAAATATGTAACATGTGCTATTGCACTCCTAACTGAGAGAGGAAGAATATGGAAATGCTTGCATCTTGTTAAGTAGTCAGGTAGGAAGGTCTTATCTTATAACTCTAATAAATATCAGCACCAAAACATACAGTGTAATGTTGGAAATCGTATTAAGCGAGTACTGTATGAGAAGTAAATATCAATTCGGCATACGTATGATAATGTATGATAATGATAATGTACGTTACGCGTGCTTGACAGCTTTAGAAAAATAGTTTTATACTATATATATGTTACTGTAAAAGTTCGAACTACGGTTAATCTTAAGATTTAAGTGCAAGTCTTAGGATTTACCGACATGAGTTGGTAAATGTAAGTATTTCAGAAAATACGACGATTTTTTCGAGCTTTTACCATTCGAATTCAGTATATGCTAGGTTTTGCCACTGTCATCTGGTAGATGTTGGTTTTAGGAATAAAACAATGAGTAATTCTTAATTATTTACTTTAATGTACTATTAGACAAAACAGGTACATAGTATTATAAAGGTATCATATGATAGTAATAAGTACAAACTAATGCCAACTTTTTTTAAATTATTATTTTGAAAAAACACATAACGTATGTCTCTGAATATCTCAATCTCTATCATATCTATCTAACTGAATCAGTAGTTCTCTATTTGGAATTTAACAAAGAAATACAAACATAGTGCTAACATAAGCTAGTCTAACCTAATAATTATTTTTGTTTTTCAACATTTACCGTGCCATTAATGTAAATCCTAAGATTTACCAACGGAATGGTGGTAAGAGTTCGAATCGCAAACCTTTTGGGACATTTACCATTAGGAATTGGTAGATCTTAGGTTTTACTGGAATATCTTAGGATTTACTGCAGTTCGAGCTTTTACAGTAACATATATATACTAAGATTATTACAATCTTGTTGCAATGCGGTCATTTTAGCCTAAACAAAAATCTATTTACTTTTCCTATGACGTCAATTACTCTAATTCAAGTTTTTAAAGTCGCAAAAACCAGTGTCGAGTATGGAAAGTAGGCGAAAGCAGAGGTCATAGATGCTTTCACAGTTCACTAAGCTTTTTATTACTAATGATAACCGCCTCGTCTAATTTGAACCGGAATTTCCAATTTAAATCAGAAATAATACCAATTCTTTCATATATACTATTGTATGATTTCTTTTATCAATTCAAACAAAATCATTATTTTATACTGCATTTTGAAGTCCATTATATTTTTGAGAAATATATATACAAAGTTATTTGAAAGCTATAGTTTTATAGGATACTAGCTGACCTGGCAAACGACGTTTTGCCATGTATATCATTTATAATAAAAAAATAGGGGTTGATCGTAGAGGGGTGAAAATTAGGGGTTGTATGTATTTTTTAATGCTGTATCATAAAAAAATAAAAAATAAAAATTTATCTAAAAATTAAAAAAAAAATAGGGGTTGACTACCCTTAACATTTAGGGGGATGAAAAATAGATTTTGTCCGATTCTCAGTTATACCCAATATGCACACAAAATTTCATGAGAATCGGTCAAGCCGTTTCGGAGGAGTTTAACCACAAACACCGCGACACGAGAATTTTATATATTAGATAGTGCATTTTTTTGTTTTGGTATTGTAACTTTGCACATGGCTAAATTTATTGAAAACTATATCAGAAATTTTGTTATGACATGAAATCTTAGGTATAACGTTCCAGACGCTTACACGCAAACGTAACAGTACCTTCAAAATAGCACATAAAAAATTGTTTTGAATTGTGACGGGAGGACATATGTCCACTCCTAACACATTAATCTGTATGCCTAATTAAGTAGGTAAGCCAGCTAGCTTATCGCGAGAAAAATCTAGAAATATGTATATGGCGCATAACTTTCGTAATAGATCGTGTATATCTATTACGTGATATGATTACCACGCAGACCGGTGACCCTTTGCCTATAGAATATTAATTATTTTTTGTTTATTCTATGATATAGTGAATAAATAATAGCTTATTATTTAAAACACATATCCAATGACTATGCTTAGAAACACTGGTTATAAATAATTGTAAAAACCGTCGCATCTATGCCTGTAATTAAATAGTCAATTTATGAATTTTCTTTTACACGAACTTTAGAGCCACATTAGAAAAAATATTGTCTCGAAAACGTAATTTTTGAATTAAAATTATTAGATATACATTTTTTTATAATACACGATCTTCTTAATAATATATATCTCAATTACATTCAATAGAAAGTTGTATAATTTATATAAGTAAGTTAAATAACACTTTTTTAGGGCTGGTAACAGGAAGTCGTCAATCAGGTAGTTCCTAAGGGCATTTCTTAGGAAACATGTTTATTTCCTGAGGACTTACGTATATCTTTTATATAATAATTGCATTCCTTAAGTAATGGGACTATCTCGCTTTAATTAAGTTTGGTGTATGTTGCCAATGAGTTGTTTTAAGTATAACTCTTGTGTCAATCTTTAGTAGTTTTTATGAATCTTTAATTCATAACACAAGCTTGTATATGAATGTATGTAATGAATTCTGTAATTACAAATAATTATATAGATCTATATATGTTCAAAAAAATACTTTCCAAACTTGATCAACTTAGAATAAAAAGAAAATCCATTTATTTAATTAATGCATGCAATGCACATAAAAAAGAAATACAAACACAATCACTTTAATAAAAAAATAGCGCGACTCGGCTGTTGTTGCTGTCACCAGCAACACTGATTTTCAATAGGCCCATACTATCTTGGAGTGACAGCTATATAACAAAAATATAATGAATTGAAGATAAAACATATATATATTACAAACAAACACGACACAATGTCTAAATCCCCAGCCGACGACTGACATTCCAAAATGATATTTGCAATTTTATTTTGAAGGACGTAGTTCCTTTGATGTCGCGGGCTGTAGGTGGCACGTTGTTCCAGTATTTGTTGCATTGTATTAAAATCCGCGAAAAGACGCTGTTCTACATTTAGATACAATAAGCTGTTTGTTTCTCCCTTAAGTGATCCGCTTGACTGTATTTACGTCCTGTATTTCTATCGATTTGGACCATTGACTAAAGCATTGTATATCATTTAACGCTATGGACACAAAGTGACATCAGTGGAATCATCGGATCGCAACTAAGTTGTGGTCACACGTCTTGAATGGATTACATGAATTATGGTGTGAGTGAAAGTCATACATAACGAGGGTGAGCCAGTATGGCACTGGTGCCTATTTTTCGCTTCAATAGTTTTAAAAAAGGTTCATTGCACTTCCTGCGCTTACGCAACGCGTTCAATAATGAAAAACCCATGTATTCACGCACTGTTGTGTCCCGGAAATCCTTTTTGATTTTTAGGGATACAAAATTTCGCAAATTCACGGATTAAACATGATAAAATTATCTTATTTATTATATAATTACCTTAATTTCTTTGAGTGACTTTAGGGGAGTCATCAATTTAAAAGTCCAATTTGTACCTCAAGTCGTGATCTCATCTTTGACAAATGTCAAACTTCACATTTTGACAGCTGTTAATTTTAGTTTGATTAACGTTTTAATCGGTCTTACGACGAACCAATTACGACAGGTTTGAATAAAAATGCATGAGTTTCCTGCTTATTATTACACTGAAACTTAGTATGGGCTAAATATTTAAATCAATGCAGCTGCTGCCATGGGCAATAAAATGGAATCTAGGCCAAAGGTGGCCAAATGGAACAAAGGGAGAGTCAATTGAATGAAGTGACTAGAAAATTCAATTTGTGTAATGAACTCATTGTACCTATTCACTAGTGTGATTACTAATGAAATAAAAGATGCATAATCCTGTTAAACTATATATATCTCTACATTTCGTATAGTTTGTAATTTCATAAATACTTTTTTATCGTTGTGTGCTTACGATAAAAGTGTAAGAACCAGTATCACCTGTGTGTGTACCTTGCCTTCAGATTTTTGTATCTTTTTCGTTAT